GATGAGTAAAAAAGCGGTACAACATTGTTTTCTTGGCGTTCATTGTGCCATACCTTTTGCGTCTGGCGCTTTGCTGGCAAAGTTATAAATGTCACGCAAAGCTACAAAGTTTTATCTGGCATCAGCTTTATTGAATCGTTTGAATAAGCTAGTATGCCGACCATTGCATTGTGCGTGGAAATCATAGCTCAGCTACCGCTGTTCGTATATGGGTGAAATACGCATGTGGTCCCAGAGCGCTCAGTAAGCTATGGGATGTCGATTGCTGCGCTAGGTAGAGAAAGAAAAGTGTGTGCTATGACATGCACAGAATGGTTTGTCTCAGTTTTTCTATCATCGCGAGTTGTTTCGGTGCGCGCATAGTTATTTAAAAATATAAAGTTTGATGCCTTCCGGGGTTTTTCAGTGGATATATAATTCACGTGAATTATAATTTGAAAGTGTCTATTTAGACACATACAGATATTGACCTGGGTTTTCGCACGACTGTTCCTGTTTCAGCTTTGTTTTTTAGGAAATTCTTACCACCATATACAAATCGTCCCGTTTCTGTCTTAACCTCGTATCTGCAGTAGAGGTATTTTAGAGAGTGTAGGAAAAAATTCTTAATTTCTTCCCCTAGGATATTATAAACGCATTTTTTACTTAATATTTCTGGTCCCACTAAGAGTAGTGAGCACCCTCATTAAGTCTTTGTTCTATTTTCAAATAGTGTGACGCTTAAACAGCTATTATAAGTGGTAATATTAATTTTCCCAAAAATTGTAGATACGTGCTTAAGGCAGAAACGGGACGATATGTATTATCACAGAATAAAGAGTATACAGAAGACGCACCACATACAAATTTATATTTCTTCGGCGGACGTAATATTACAACCCGGACAAGAGCAGAGAAGTTAAAATTACGACCACCATGAATAACATGGCGACCCGGAACTGAGCAGAGGAGTTAAAATCACGTCCACTATGAATAACATGAACATAAACACACATCGTGATCAGCGTTGCCGCGAGCTTGAAAAAAATGTATCAGTTGCCAAGCAGAAAAGTATCAAAAGCAAACAAAACTGTTGTTTGTTAAACTGTTATTTAAAAAACAAATAATAAATAAAATTTTATAATTAAATCCATAGTTATAAAAAAAAATTATATTTCTTGCTTCTGTCTGCTTATTTGCATAATGAAAAACAAACTTATAGGGCCCCTAAACCACACAAAATCCCTGCGCAACCCGAGACTTGTAAAAGCCAATATTGTGGAATTTACTACAGTATAAAATTGCGCAAAGAAACGTTGCTCAAGTAAATATGTGCAATAAATATTTTACAGCACGATCTGGACACCAAAATCAACACTAGTTTAAAAATTTCGCAGTGGTCGCCATACGAAGCACAAATTATTGTACAATAACACAAGCATGAGAAAAATATCAAAATAATTTTTATTTTAGCGCAATAACTATGCAATTTAGTACAAACGACCCCATACACCACGCAAACGCTCGTCGCAAGCCCGATATTTCGTAATGGTTTTGTGTGGTTTAGGGGTCCTATAACAGTGGCGTGTGCAAAGAAATTCCGCGTTGTGTTTCCCAAATCAACTTATAAATATCTATATATAAATTGTGAGAGTTCAAATAACAAGAAAGAAAATATTTGCGTTTAGACTAGTAGTACTATTCATAGTTTTCGAAAATTCGTTTCTGCCAGCCGAAAGTGTCAAAATACGGCATTTGGGAACAAAGAAGTATCAGATATTAAAATTTAGAAAAACAGTATTAAAAAATATACAATTCTACCAATACGGCAACGCTGATCGTGATGGAAAACGTAGTTAACATCTTGTCGTCATAGCGACGATGGAATTCTCAGCCGAGTGAAAATACTGCTAAAGTAACAGAGGCAGCGCCGCTTGCGATACCCTTGCTTGCCTCACCGCTCGTGCCATAAATTCAAATTGGTTGGATAGTCGACATGCGTCTTCTGTATACTGTTTACTCTGTGGTATTATTTACTTTAGTAACTAACTTATGTCCCTAGGCCGGCAATGGCAAACCTCCGAGTTTATTTCTGCCATGAAAAACAGCCTCTCATAAAAATACAATCGCCGGTCGGAGTCGACGTAAAACTGTAGGTCCCTCCGCTTTGTGTGACAACATCAAGGCGCACGCCACAAATCGGAGGAGAAGCTCGGCCAAACGCTAACATACATATGTGTAAGCGCCAATCTATATTATTATTAACTAACTTATGAATTTTTTATGCTTAATATATGCAAATAAAAGAAGAAAGTAAACACAACAAACATCGAGGAAATTTTTATTTGTGTCGAACTGAAACTTTTTTTCCAATAATAAACGGTTGGCTGATTCAAGTCTACAGCAAGTTCACAAAATTAATTGAAAACTTGTATCAACCAAAGCATTGTTTATATTTGCTCAACAATGATTTTATTCAACTAACAAGGTAGTCGTTTTGTAATTATTAACAAATATACATTTGTCCCAACTAGAAGTCTTAAGTAAATAGCAGACATTCGTGAACTATATATTTATTTCGCCATATCCAACTATGCCACTTGATCACTATAACCAAATCTTGGTTATTATAACTAAACCTCTTTCTGGGTGTATACAAATTAACAATTACCAAACTATCGTGGCGGTGTTTAGATATAAGCATTGGAAACAGAATAAACTTGTTTACACTATCTTAAAATGTGTTAATCAGGCTATTAAACGATATAGGAATGGTTAAAATATCATTATTTATAGGCCACTATCAAGTAAAGCTATGATCTTCAGGGCAACATCAAATGTGAGTGAGTGTGACCCTTTAAGCATTGATACCGCCATATTAAATTATTTTAGTGACTAAATCATAGAAAAACAGGTGCGCAAGATATAGTTAAACTTAAAAATGCTGAAAAAATACTGCTGTGCTGAAATACAAAAAGCCTTAATTAAGTAAAAATCCAAAATTCCTTTCTTAATTGATTATGATGCATTTCATTTATTATAAGTCCCCGGAACATTTTAAGCAATTACAAATTTTAGTCAGTTACGACTTTTTTGCATTTCAGCGACTATATGAGTTTGGGCCTTTCTATATTCTAAGGTAATAACATCTAATTAGTCTTTTTGGTTTTTTTTGAATCATATACAATATTTTACGTGGGCAGACGCCTAAAAGTTAGCACAGCAGATTTTCAAGAATATTGCATGCACGTTTTCTCTGTTTGTAATTTGTAAATAAATGGCCGTGCGTGTCATGCAACAGATTTTAGATACGGTTGGCACGCAAAAGTTTGGTCTCTTTTGAAATAATTCAATGAACTCTTCTGAAGTTTTGAAAATATTCTTAGCGAGAATAGGCTGACACAGGCGCTTAAAAAGTTTCGCAGAAAAATTTGCTAAAAAGAACATATTTCAAGTTAAGTTAAATATTGTATGAGCATCCATGTTACATGTAATGGTTGTTTTTCTTTATTGGATAAAACTTTACATTTGGTGCGTGCACGAACATCAAATTTATTAAAATGAAAAACGTTGCACAGCTAAATTTTTAAATCTTCAAGCGGCCTTATATTTCTATTTGCCACAAATATTTATGTAGGTATTCCTCCTAAAGCTATTATGAAAGCAAATAATTCCTTTTTGCCTATTCAATTTCACACAAATTTAAACTTGTTCCGTTTTATTTTCCTTCCAGGCCGAATCGCCGTTGTTGCCCAGCAGCAACAAAGATAACAACAAGCCGTCGGAAGCAAATAATAATATTAATAACAACAACAACAACAATAGCATTAACACTAACAATAACGCCATACCTAATCACATATCAGCGAAAGCACACCCACACAATTACACAGCCGTCGATACCACCGCAAGCTCACCGTTTCATCAAAGCCACACCAACAATCACAATCCCAGCGAACAAACGTCAACAACAAACAAACGTTATCTCAACACGCTTGTGCCCAGCTCAGCGTCGCCCACTTCATCTGGGCCGAGCATTTACGGCACACCGGCCAGCGAATGTCGACGTCGTAGTTCGGTAGCATCTTTGCAGCTATTTGATGGCAATACGGTGACGATAACCACCACCACATCGACAACACTTGATGGTAGTGGCCAAACGGAGGAGAGTATTATAGATTTGGATGATAACGAGTACAGTACGGAGGACACGGACGATATCTACAGTGAACCGAACAATAATAACTATTCCACACCCACCTCAGCGGCATTGTACAGCAACTATCAATACACACAAAACGCAACACCAACACACACACACCAGTACAACTTATACCCGAGAGACTTCTTCTCCAGCCTCGAGGGCGAACGTCCGCCACAAAGCACGAAAATGAAGACCAAAGTCGATGCCGTTGGACGCATAACCGGCGAATGGGGACGCTGGCAATTGCGCGCTGTTTTACTGATATTTCTCTGTAAGATCCCATCATCATGGTTTATGGCTTGCATTATTTTTACAGCACCCGCACCGCGTCATGGTGAATTCTTTTGCAAGCCACCGAATACGGTGGGTGCCCGCAACGAAACACTCTGGATAAAGGTGTCACATCCGCAGAAGGAGGAGGTTGACGATCAGGAATTTACTATAGACTTTTGTAATATATACCAGGATGCACAAGAGCATGCGCATCACTATTATCGCTATGAACAGCCCGAACTGGAACCGCGCGTATGGGAGGAGCCGACTTCGCGCAATTCGAATATCATCCCATGCCAGCAGTTCGAGCATAGGGCCGAATATCATTCGGTAGTGACGCAATATGATTTAGTGTGCTCGCGTGACATACTGGTATCGGTAACGCAATTCTTCCACTTATTTGGCGTACTCACCGGCGGTATATTGGCAAATCATCTGCTCAAGTAGTGAGTAATACATAAGGCTTTCGATTTATATTATTAAGGTTAAGTGCGTTACTCTGAAAGAGCATTTGTGAGAGCCACAAAAGCGAGAGCGAGTTTTTCAATTTTATTCCTTTTCAATACAATCAAGGTCTTCGAAGCAATAGGCCGCTGTAAAATGAATGGCCCCGACCTTTGCAGAGATGACTGGAAGTTGCGTCTTACTCATTTCTATTTATTACGAGGTTCAATCTATATGGTTTCTGTAGCGCCTTCTGGGCTGAATTAATAACCACAAATGCAGCCCTTTGACTTAATAGTGTTCCAACTTCTTCACAGATTATCCCCAGCCAAGCTGCGCTTAGATTTATACAGTGTAAAAGCATATCTATGAAGGCACGAATAGAAATCGAATATTATCGAACGTGACCTGGGTTCCGGGGCAAAGGGGGATGGGAATCAACCTATCATCGACCCAGATCAGCATTCATATATTTGGTAACCAAGAGTAAAGGATCCCATTTATTGACTTACTCAGCAGACCTCGTCAAGTACCAAAGATACTACTGTCCCCGTAAAGGGGAGAGGTAGGTATTATTACTCAAGAGAGCTCATTCAAGCAGAGTTTCCAGGTATCCAGTTTTTGCATGTTTAAACAAATCACATACTTCACAGTCTGTTTTTTTTATTGTCACCAGGACGATCAGACTAAAATCTGGACTGCAAGGTCAAAAACTGGACACTTAGAAACCCTGCAATCAAGTGGCATCGTAATGAGCATACTAAGAGAGTACATTCGATAACAGTCGCATGTTCATCTCCTGCAGTGTTCGACACTGCACACTCAGGGTGTAGGTCAAAGAGTACTCCTTTCTACTCGGCAGTATTTCAGATTAATCAATCAGCTATGTGTAATCACTTGGTGATTCCCTGGAATTACAAGAACCGGCCCTTCTTTGCTGTATGAGCGTTTCTTCCCGCTCCCATTGGCTTGCCTCTTTCACGAATGAGCTGTAGGTACTCATTATGTTTAGAAATAAATTTCCAGTAGGTATGTATTAACAATTTAAGTTACGTGCTTTACACGGAAGCAGAATTTTGAACGAGGCAAGTTCATCATTAAACACTACGGAAATCAAAATGTCTGAATACTATCGGCAAGCTCAATGAACAGTAGGCGCAGAAAACGAGCTGTTTCCATTAGTTTTGACGAGAGGGAGAGAGGTATTAGCTGAGTGGGATTGAAGCGACATTTCGAACACTCATTAGGGATATCGGGGTCGAGTCTGGATATGTAGATTTTTATGAGGCTACAGTATCTAGTCCGTAATTGGACCAGACTGGCACGGGTCTCTCCTAGCAGTCTAAGCTCTTTGTCTGTAATTGGTGGAGATTTAGCTCCGATTATGGCATTCATAGGTCGAGGGTCGTGAATCTATGAGCGCGGTTGATCACTCGTCGGTAAGTCGTCCGGGAAAATGATTGTTCTGTGCCTGGGCGGTGGCTGTTCCTGAAGAAATTGTTGTTGGGATGCTCACGTCTGTGACCCGTTAGCAAAAACTGCTTTCTGAGCATTTTGTTGTGCTCCCTTATGGGGAGTATTTAGGCCCCGCTATGAAGACGGTGCTCAGGCGAAATCAGAAAGTATATTGTCGCTGTCCGGTATGTGGTGTTCTCACAAGTTTGCAGCTTCGTCCACTGCGTCCAACTAGTCCCCGGCGACCACAGAAGCGCAGCATAATTCAGAACCTGCCCAATTTCCAGCAACGGCTTTTTGTCTTAGTCCCAGGTGCTGCCGGCGAGCGTCTTGGGGACTTTTTGAGGCTCGTAAAGGAGGAGAGCAAGCTATCAATGGGAACCCCTAATATTTTCAAGTTATTCACTTCCGTAATTTGTTTGCTTTTGGCATGAATGTCTAAATGAAGCCTGAGCTTCTTCGCCCAGTTGGTGAAGAGGGTCGCCGTTGATTTCGTCCGGGAGAGGGTTTATCTCCGTGCAGCGAAGAACCGATAAAGTTCGGAGAATGCTTGCTAGCGGTGAGAGGTCCAAAACACTCCTCGTCGCCCCGCATTTTTTCTGATAAAATTTTCATCTCCCTTTTCTGCCCGTCAGCATCGCAAGCTTTTCACACTGATGAATTTTTGGATATCCCTTTTTCTTAAAATTTCCATTACTAATCATAATTTTTTGAAATAGTTAGTTGGTTGCAGTAGCTCCCTCGGGCACTAAATATTAGCGCATTTAAGCTAATTCATGAATTTCTCGTGTGAAATATTTCGTATACGTAAATCCTAAATTGCCTGGTCATTTGGACTCTCTGCTGAACTTACCGAATTTACTTATAGTAGCTCCGGTTAAGTCGGCTAGTTGCGTTACTATTTAGGTTTCTTCGTAGTGTTTTATACCTAATATACGCAAGGCCTGAACATTGGCATAGGAGACGCTGGACACTTTTTTACTATCTTCTAGCTGATATCTGTGGCAATTTCTCGGTATTATAGGAAGTCCGATTATTCCTGCGCGTTTGCCTGGATTAATTTATTTATTATGCCAAACGACAAATCCAGTTGCACAGCTTCGAATTCATCAAAAGGCCTCCGGAACCCAGGAAAGAGAGACGATAATTTACTGAGTGCCTAATTGCAATTCCATTTAGCATTCCTTAATCAACTTAGACTTAGCTAACGGAGATGCTTTATTTTTGTATCCAACGTTATAAATTATCATAGAATTTACATGCTCAAAGGATGCTTATAACTTCCGCTTGGAAGATGCTTGCATCCCTTCCCAAGCGGAGAGACAGGCTCCAGTACATACACCGCAATCCAATTTGCATCCGTCGGTGTAGAGCTAGAGATGGCTTCTTTATCGACCACGTGGTCTCTTCTCCATCCTTCTCTCAATGGAAATTGCACTTGACCTAGTTTTATGTGTACATATTTAAATAAGTTTCAGAGTAAAAATTTTCTTTCATTTAACAGCTTCAGTCCAAGGAATGTGATGCTCTTTGGCATGGTGACGCAGATCTTCTGTGGTAACCTGACCGGACTTGTGGCCTCTTACGAGTTGCACGTCTTCTTTCGGTGCTTATCGGCAATCTGTTGCTGCCAAATGTATACGGCGGGCGGCATGATAAGTAAGTAATGCACAGACATTTAAGTAAAAACTCCATCAAGTTAATTGTTTCATTACTTATTCTCCATTTTTAGTGGCCGATATAACAGGCGGTGTTTACAAGACTTGTGTTTCGACACTTTTCGAACAATTTTGGTCAGTCGGTGTTATACTTTTACCAGGCGTAGCGAGCTTCTTCTCCAGCTGGTCGCACCTCTATATGGCCATCTCGTGGCCAACTGTGATACTCATCTACCTGTGGCGGTGAGTTGGCTTCATTAACGGTCCGCTTTTTATCCAATTGAAAAATGATTTACTTGTGGAGTACTTTTTTTTCTTACAGTTGGATACCTGATTCACCACGTTGGATGATACAGCGTGGTCGGGTATTGGATGCTAAGAATATACTACTGCAATGCGCTGAGGTGAATGGCACACGCTATGGGCTTCCTCACGATATCGACCAGCAGCTAGAACTGCAAGCGCAAACCGCTATGGATGCGCCACCACCGCCGGGTTGGTGGTCGATTTGGAAGGGTGACAAGGTGGTGCGTAATTTGATTTGCGTACATTTGGCCTGGTCCATCTACATTATAGTCTACTACGGTATGTTGCTGAACATACGCTCATTTAGTCGCGAGCATCTTGAGGTGAATACGGCGGTGGCGGGTTTGAGCGAGATTATCGGTACATTTATCGGTCTCTTCCTCATACTAAAAACGACACGTAAATGGTTATGGACGGGATTATTCAATGTAATTGCGGGTCTAATTGCATATTTAGGATGGCTTGTACCAGCGGATTGTAAGTTGAATATTTACCTCAAAGAAATACTTATTTATGTTATGCCTTCATTTTCCTTTCCTTCTCTCCTTCTTTGTGCGCATACGTAGTATCCTTCGATGTCCGCGTTGCTCTGCTCATGCTCACGGCCATGATCTCTAAGGCCGCCATCTCCACTACACTTTCTATACTCACCACATGCACTGTTGAGCTAGTTAGCGGTGAAAAGAAAAAGATCGCTGCCTTCTCCGCCATCTGTTGGGCACGTTTTTGGCTGTTGGGCGCACCATTTATTGGCGCTACTGTGGTCTTTGGCATGATGGTGCCGCAGACAGCATTCGCGTCACTTGCAATTGTTGGTGGTGTTTTAACCGCCCTTATAACAAGTCCACGCACGATTAGCAAACAGCATACCACACTTGGCGACAGCAACCGGGCGACTGCGACACAAGTAGAAGGTATCGATAATAAGGCCTTTACAACGGGATCAACACCCAACCGTCCCATATTTACCAGTATTACAAAACTGGCGGGACCGAACTCTAATTTGCCACCACAAATGATGCCGGGTATTTGGACGACGAAACAACACGAAGACAGTCCGCCAGTCTGAGTTGGCCGAATGGTGATAATTATAGTTGATCGAGCAATAGCGCGCGCACGGTCGATAATCGACGAAATTATCACAACGATAATTGTTGTTATGTTGTTAATAGAATTGCAATGCATACCGATGGGTTATAGGAAATGACGTTGGCAGCGATTTTTGGGTGTCCGCGTTAATTCAGAGCGACATCTGACGGGAATATGAAACGAAAGAATCGACCACTATCTCTCAAACGCAAAGTTTCAAAGTTTTTAAGGTTTGAACGAATTGCTATTTAAATTTTAATTGCCTGCATATGTCGTACATTGCAATTCTGTTTACACCGTTATTATTTGTTGAATAGTTTTCTTAATATAGTCATATTTAATAATTCCTAAGATAGTCAAAGACATTAACGAATGACCTATATGTAAGCAATAAAAGTTTATATATTGATTATTAATCCTACCCTCAAAAGGTATACAGTTGCAGCCAAATAATGAGCAATGGCTGATAGCTTGTCACTTTTGTTAGCTCAGATACACCATTTTATAGAGATTTATGAGTTGAAATGCTTTAATGTCAATCTCTTCATATGTATGAACTTTTAACTAATCTCTTCATATGTATACCCTGTTTACGGAAAACTTGTGTACCTAAAAGCAGACAAATGTACCTAAAATAGAGATACATATCGTCGTTTAAAGTGCAAAACCGCGTATCAACCAAATGCAAAACCGTGTACGTGAAGTAGTAGAAATTATTTTCTAGAGCGTAAAAACACTCATATTTCAAAATGGTTCTCCTTTTTATAAAGCAATCGCATTTCTAGCTAGTATACTTCAGGACGAATGGATAAGGATTGAGCCAAGAGCTTGTGTGAGCAAATCCAATTTTCGGCAGCCAATGTCAGTTACGCGGTTTTGCAGAATGACGATACGCGGTTCTGTACTTTTAACAACTATATGAATGTTGTTATATCTATACATTTTAACACTTCCTAAACTATTTTTGGTAAGTAGTAGGAGTAGGCCTCTCACTTCGTATGCATAAAATCTAAACGACTGCTCTTTTTTAAAATGTCATACCTTTCACTTAAATTTCTTCTTCTCTTTTTTTGGCACTAAAACCGTTTGTCGGTTTGGGCCGAGAACAAAAAACTTCGCCAGTTGCCTCTCTCCTTTGCAGATCTGGGCAAGTTGTTCATCCTAAGTGCGACAAGGTCCTTCCATTGTATTCGTGGGCGCCCTTGCTTTCGTTGTCCACCATGGGTGCGGAGACGAAGGATCTTTTTACTGGAGCATCGCCAGCTCGATTGTTGTATTTTATGCGCTAAACCATGTCCATGTCGTTGAAAAGCTCGTATAGTTAGTTATTCCATCGCGAATGGCGCCATAGATCTTGCGAAGAAGACTTCTCTCGAAAGCCCCCAAAGCCTTCTCATCTTTGTTAGACATCATTCATGTTTCTGCGTTGTATAAAATGACGGGCATGCTAAGAGATTTGTGGAGCGTGATTTTTGTTCGTCGAGAGAGAGCCCTGCTTTTCAATTGGATACCGAGCCCAAAGTAGCCCCTATTGGCAAGACTTTTTCTTCGCTTCATCTCCAGACTGACTTAAATTTATTTGAACAAATTGAGTAAAAGGTCTGAAATTTTAAGAAAAAACATTTGCTTAGGTTTTATGCATACGGCCAACGATTTGCAATGTTCCTGAGTCTGGTTAAAATAAAAAATTATTTTGACTTTCATACGCTTTGCAACAAATGAACTAAAATGAACGAGAAAACATCTCAGTTTACCTATCCCTTAAGAAGGAGCCCAAAAAACGTGTCATCACTTTCCATTGGTGGCAGATCAACCGATTTTCATTAATTATCTACTACATATGTACCGTTGTGCCGGACTTTCCGTACGTCAAAAGTAAAGAAGGGCTTAAATTTTATTAGTTGTAGCAAAGCCTGCCTTACAAAACTTACTCAGTTGCATTGGCTTTGAACCGAGGTTTCGGTTCGGTTTAACGGTTTGGAAATTAGAAAGAAAAGAATTAACTATTGTGTTATTTTTATTAAGTAAGAATCCAAGAAATAAGTATAAAAACCAAGGACCGAAAACAAAAGGTATATTCGAAACTAAATGCCGTTCTCGTAGTTTTGTTCCCAAGTACGCTTCGAAAACAAAACAGAAATGATAACAAAATTGTCGAGTAAGTTCTCAATGGGAATTATATGAGAACAAACCCTGTGGAACGTTCCCAAAGAGAAGAAAATGCGAACAATACTTTCGGAAACATTTCTAAGAGAACAAAATGGGACCAAAAGTGTCCGGAACGTTTTGGCAAAGAACAAAACGGGAACAAAAGTCTAAGGAACAATTTGGATCATGGGCCGTTTACATACGACTTTTGCTCCGCTTTGCTTCAGAATTCCGCTTTGACAGATAAGTTTAGTGCACGTTTTCATATGAGTCTTGCTAAATAGAATGCGAGGAAAACAAAACGAAGCAAAATCATGGGCAAACTCTCAACTTTTGCGCGCTTTGTCAATCAGCTGTTATCTTTTCTCGTGCGCTTTCAATTGCATTTAAAGACAAAAATACGGTTAATATGAATATTTATTGCTAGTACTAATGAATATTATTAAATGGTTATTTATTTAACCGAGATGAAATATGGAGAAAAAGGAGAACGCGGAATTCGTCAAAGTGTTCATTGTAGCATACAGAGAACGTATTGAAAACAAATGCTTTCTGAAATATTCACGAAGAAAGGAAACGAGAACAATATTTTTCTCATAACGTTCCATTAGTTTGAAGTGTTAAAATTAATCAAAAAAGAACTGAGACATAGGAGTCAAGGAAAGGCTTCAGACGCGAACCTTTCTAGTACAGAAAATTTAAAATTGTTCCATAAACGCACAGTTCATCCAAATGATAAACGATCTCGCTGAAAAGATTTTTTATTTCAACACCCAGATGCCCCTCTCGTTCTTAACGTAAAGTTCTCAAAACTTTTAGTTTCGTTTTGTTCTCTATCAGGACGTTCCCCAGACCCCAGTTTTTATTTAATCCCCCTTGAAAACGTTCTCGATGCTTTCGTTCTGATTTTGTTCCCATTGGAAACGTTCCCAAAAGTTTCGTTCTCATTCTGGTCTTCTTGAGAACGTTCCCGAGAGTTTTGTTCGCATTTTGTTTTTTATGTAAGCGTTCGCGAATCTTTCTTTCTCATGTTGTTCCCTTCAAACTGTTGTCAATACTTTTGTACCTGTTTGGCTTTTTTGTGTAACCTTCTTGACATTACATTTTCTTCTCGTGCAGAACTAAACCAAAACTGGAACGCGTTCTCGGTCCCTGATAAAAACCTATATCAAAAATACATGAAAAAAATCAGATGGTAAGCATATTTAACAAAAAATAAATAAAAAGTGAAAAACATTTTTCTATTAAAAAGATGCTTGAAGTAAACATTAAACCTTTATAAAAAAATGGTTCGGTTGGGATTAAATACTTGTGGAAAATTTTGGTTAGGTTTATGGTTCCGTTAATTAGTAGAATCGAAGTAGTTCGAATCCGGTTCAGTATCAGTATCAGTCAGTGGCTCAAAGCTTTTATATAATCACTTAGTTCATAAAAATGGTTTGCCAGTGTTGGGTAGTCAAGTGGAGAAATTACTATTTTCAGTACTATTTAAACAAATTTTTCTTCGGTTACCAATTTCATTATTAGATCGACCTCCACGTAAATTCTTAAAAAAATCTCAGGGAGTATTTTAAAAAGCAGTGACCATAAATAGAAGTTATTTTAAAATTATGAAATCAAAAAGACATACTTACATATTAGATAGTAAAAAAGTTATCGTTCAGTTTTTGCGCAGATACTATTAAGTAGATCTAGGATTCTTGCTCATTGTAACATATGATTTCCTCATGACTTAAAACAACTTAATTTGTATTACTTTTAGCGACAAATATCAAATAAAAGTTAAGTCAAAGTTTGTCTGATGTTTTTTTTTTGGGAAGAAAATAACAGATAATTTTTGCTTTTTATTTATTGGGCAATGATAATAAAAGATAAAGTTATGACGTATTATTTTTTAAGTTTATTTAAAGTCAATTATCACTCAATTTTATATAGTGCTAGAAATAATGATAAGGTCACCCTATATTAGGAGCATTCTTTTGCAACGGAGCTAAACAAAAACACTGAGTAAAGTCACGAAAGCCATGCAAAGCAATTTTCGCAATAAGAAAACAAATTTACAAGAAACAAGCCTTAAATGCATCCATATGCACATATGACATACGAATGAATTTATGTATGTATGTATATACAAACATATTTTGTCAAATTGTACAAATACAGCTTAAGCTTTTGAGAAAAATACATACACAACCGGCCGTATCGAGGATTATTTATCGGGAGGGGCTTGTCCAATGCACATAAATACAGGTAGAAGCCAAAATGACATTGCTCTCATGAGAACCAAACCTTTAAACTTCAACTTGTTTTTCTTTTATTTCCTATATTTCGTTAAAGCTTTGAATGTCACATGATGCAATAATGAAAGATGTTATAAGTTGGCAACTTCTCGCTCTAATCCGCCATCTTGAACTACCTTAGGGGAAACTGTGTTGTTTCTTTGTTTCTGAACATTTCCCAAAATAACTTAAGGACGAGCACACCTAAAAGTTAAACATTCTAAAAATAGAATTATTAGCAAAAACCAACAATACCAACAACCAGATGATCAAGTGAATTGCAGCGGAATAGCTGCGCTTGGATAGTGGAAAAAAGCAAACGATAATTTACAAGGCGTACTTAGCACGGTGCATAGGCAACTGGCTGAGTCAGTGGGATCGTCGGTTCGAATCCTACTGAAAGAAGTCTGATGAGGAAATGTGGTGATTTCCGAAATAGCTATCACTTCTACCATTTTTTCAAATTATTGTTGCTTTTCCACAATAAAATTTTCATTTATAACGGCCTCGAGCTCAATATAAATTGTTGAATATAATTGTTATAAAGGCCAAAAAATAACAAAAACATTTCCCAA